CCAACACCAGAGGGCCAAATGGCCGAGCATTCATCACGCCCGAGTCCATCACGCGTGAGGAAATTTCAGCAGGTTAGAGCTCGCATGCTGTTCCGCGAACTATTACCACGCAAGAAGGCAATTACCGTTATTTGCCGTTGTATGTTTGTAGTAACGACTGTATCCTATAAATACTGCAAACTCCTGTGCATTCGCTGCCCGTATCTGCTACTGCTCTCTGACTTTGTCTCTGATAGCGAATTCGCAGCGGAGATTGAAACGTCAGGTGAATAAAAATAATGTCCCAGAGATCGAGTCTTCTTCATCTCAATTGCTTCCTGGGACTCGCATGTTCTCTCGCATTGGCAATAACCCTGTTAGACACGAGGTATGGTTTTGTACCTTATTATCTGCGGGGTTACGAGGCCTTTACTTGAAGAGACGCATATTGATCCACAAACGACGATCTAAAGATACTTTAATTAAGAGTTATAAAGTGGTTTTATATCCTTGGAGTAGATAAAGTTAACTGTCATTTCTCAAGGGTCAAGAAGAAATGCTCTTATTGAAAGAAGGTACTTCTGTAAGTAACAACGCAAGGTACTGTACAACAAAGGGGTTTAAAATGTTACAATCGCACATGTTTCGTTTTATAGTCTGTAGAATCTTCACATTTATAAACATCCTTATCAGCTAACGAATGGCCTTAGTCAACTAAGATTATTTTTCAAAGAAACTTTGAAGGATTATGCCTACATGTTTGATTGGAGGGCAGGAGCATAACATAGACAACTAACCCTGCCTTTTCCCCGTTATTTGTTTACGAATTGTTCAGTAGTTTTAGTGGAGCTTTGCGTAATTGTTCAGTGCTAGAGAGGAAAATACAGGGGTTCAAGGAAATGGCCCTTGTTCATAGAAATCCTGTATCCATCAGAAGTAAGGTGCATTTTACAGACGTGCGCAGTTAAAAGAGAATCTATTTGGCTAAGAAATAATGCGCCAATCACCTTTGCAAGGCCTCGGATGTGCATAAGACGAGCTTTAGTGTAAAATATTGATTCGATTACGTTGAAATTGACACCCAGGCTGTTTGGATCTAAAAAAGCCATTTGAACTATTTTTCTCAGTCCGTCGAGTGTCTCGCCGCTTCGGATTTCGCGAGGTTGGTGATGATGACGACTGTAATCTCTACTGGACTGACTTCTCGGTTTCCATTGAAAGAGTTGTTTCTATGAAAAAATGGCAGGTATGCGATGTTTGATAAATTATTTTGAAAGGGCAATAAGATTTCTATTTTTTTAATGCAATTTATATACTAAGTTTTGCATGATAACGTAGAACAAATTATATGGCTAAGTTTCCTATCAAGTAAACAAACGTACCTTATACCACATTTGCGTGTGTGAAGGTGTTAGGAAAAAGTGTTTTTTTTACCTGATGCCCTAGAGTCAATGTATATATACCACTGTTATTATCAAAAGGTCTCAAATACAACTAGCAAACTGTTTGAAGTTTCTGCAAATTGCGTTTCTCATTAATTTAGAAAGTGAATCATTTTCCTGGTATGTCAGAGATCTGCCGAAAAGACTGCTTGGCACGAAACCTTAATAGAATGTTCAAGCTCTTCCCAAAGGACTACAATATATTTCCTAA